CCTCAGACACCTGAAATAATTCACTACCAGACACCTGACTATCCTGCAGAAGAAAACATCCTGAATTATCCCAGAGACACACCTGAATATCCTCAGACATCCTGAATATCCCCAGAACCTGAATATCCCCCTCAAACATGCTGAATATCCCCAGACACCTAAAATTCCCCCCAGACATCCTGAACATTATCCTAGAATATCCCCCAGACTCCTGAATATCCTCAGACTCCTGAATATTCCTCAGACACATGACTATCTCTGACACGCCTTGAATATCCCCAGACATGCTGAATATCCTCAGACACCTCTGAATATCCTCAGACACCTGAATATCCCCATGACATGGGTGAATATCCCCAGGACACCTGAATATCACTCCTCAGACATCCTGAATATCCCCAGACTCCTGAATATCCTCAGACACTGAACTATCCTCAGACATCCTGAAATATCCCCAGACACCTGAATATCCCCAGACATCCTGAATATCCTCAGACACCTGAATATCCCCAGACATGCTGAATATCCTCAGGAATCCTGAATATCCTCAGCCCACACCTGAAATATCCTCAGACTATCCTGAATATCCCTCAGAGACATTCCTGAATATCCCCAGACAGACCTGAATATCCCCAAGACACTGAATATCCTCAACATCCTGAATATCCCCCAGACACCACCTGAATATCCTCAGAATCCTGAATATCCTCAGACACCTGAATATCCTCAGACACCTGAATATCCCCAGACACCTGAATATCCCCAGACACCCTGAATATCCTCAGACACCCTGAATATCCCCAGACAACTGAATATCCCAGACATGCTGAATATCCTCAGGACATCCTGAATATCCCCAGATGCCTCCCCAGACACCTGAATATCCTCAGACATCCTGAATATCCCCAGACACCTGAATATCCTCAGACATCCTGAATATCCCAGACACCTGAATATCCTCAGACATGCTGAATATCCCAGACACCTGAATATCCTCAGACATCCTGAATATCCCCAGACATCCTGAATATCCCCAGACACCTTGAATATCCCCAGACACCTGAATATCCCTCAGACACCTGAATATCCTCAGACATGCTGAATATCCCCAGACATCCTGAATATCTCAGACACCTGAATATCCTCAGACATGCTGAATATCCCAGACACCTGACTATCCTCAGACATCCTGAATATCCCCAGACACCTGAATATCCTCAGACATCCTGAATATCCCCAGACACCTGAATATCCCAGACATGCTGAATATATCCTCAGACACCTGAATATCCTCAGACACCCTGAATATCCCCAGACACCTGAATATCCCTCAGACACCTGAATATCCCCCTGACACCTGATATCCCCAGACACCTGATATCCTCAGACCACTCCTGAATATCCCCAGACTCACCTGAATATCCCCAAACACCCCTGAATATCCCAGACATCCTGAATATCCTCCCAGACTCCTGAATATCCCCAGACACCTGAATATCCTCAAAACATGCTGAATATCCCAGACATCCGGAATATCCTCAGACTCCTGAATATCCCCAAACATCCTGAATATCCCCAGACATCCTGAATATCCTCAGATCCTGAATATCCCCAGACATCCTGAATATCCTCAGACACCTGAATATCCCCAGACATCCTGAATATCCTCAAGACACCTGATATCCTCAGACACCTGAATATCCCCAGACATCCTGAATATCCCCAGACACCTGAATATCCTCAACATGCTGAATATCCCCAGACATCCTGAATATCCCCAGACATCCTGAATATCCTCAGACACCTGAATATCCTCAGACTCCTGAATATCTCAAGGACACCTGACTATCCTCAGACACCTGAATATCCCCAGACACCCTGAATATCCCCAGACATCCTGAATATCCTCAGACACCTGAATTTCCCCCAGACATGCTGAATATCCTCAGACACCTGAACTATCCTCAGACACCCTGAATATCCCCAGACACCTGAATATCCTCAGACATCCTGAATATCCTCAGACACCCTGAATATCCCCAGACAATGCTGAATATCCTCAGACACCTGACTATCCTCAGACATCCTGAATATCCCCCAGACACCTGAATATCCTCAGACACCTGAATATCCTGGAAGACACCCTGAATATCCTCAGACACCTGAATATCCCAGGACATCCTGAATATCCCAGACATGCTGAATATCCTCAGGAATCCTGAATATCCTCAGACACCTGAATATCCCCAGACATGCTGAATATCCTCAGGAATCCTGGAATATCTAGACACTATCCTCAGACACCTGAATATCCTCAGACACCTGAATATCCCCAGACACCTGAATATCCCCAGACACCTGAATATTCCCCCAGACATTCCTGAATATCCCCAGACATCCTGAATATCCCCAGACATGCTGAATATCCCCAGACATCCTGAATATCCTCAGACACCTGAAATATCCCCCGACCTGCCTGAATATCCCCAGACATCCTGAATATCCCCCCAGACACCTGAATATCCCCAGACACCTGAATATATCCTCAGACATCCTGAATATCCCAGACACCTGAATATCCTCAGACATCCTGAATATCCCCAGACCCCTGAATATCCTCAGACACCACTGAATATCCTCAGACATGCTGAATATCCCCAGACATGCTGAATATCCCCAGAGACATCCTGAATATCCCCAGACTGAATATCCCAGACACCTGAATATCCCCAGACATGCTGAATATCCCCAGACATCCTGAAATATTCTCAGACACCTGATATATCCTCAGACACCTGACTATCCTCAGACTCCCTGAATATTCTCAGACCCTGAATATCCTCAGACACCTGATATATCCTCCAGACACCTGACTATCCCCAGACAAACTGACTATCCTCAGATACCTAACTATCCCAGACACCTGAATATCCCCAGACACTGAATATCCCCAGACATCCTGAATATCCTCAGACACCTGAATATCCTCAGACGGGCTGAATATCCCAGACACCTGAATATCCCCCAGACCTGAATATCCTCAGACATCGGCTGCATGGAGTTTTTCATAAGACATCACAATAGATAAGAGACAATAAAAAGATGTGCTTCATAGTCTGGTGACACTGAGCGTAATCACGACACGATAAGCCAAATACAGATAAATCTAGGGACTTATCCTGGTGTCACAAAGTTTTGTACACGCGCTGGAAACATGATTGTGACGGCAGGTCTAGGTCTTAGTTCTGTTTGATTTTATAACGATACAAAACATAACTAAAAACAATAAAAAGTGTCAGATCATTCCACAGCCTGACTGTAACTAGGTTTAGGGCTCATTCAGTCTCGGTGCGTTCCATTCAATTGGCTGCCCTTTTGGCAGGGCAGGGACAAAGGGTGGGGCAAGGAGGGATGGTTGCCCTGGGTGCAATGGTTTACTGTGGGGATGGGGCACTTTCCTTCTGTGACAAGGGCTGACAGGAGTAGTGACAGGGCGGCAGCGATTTTGACAAGTGAGTGATGCTGGGAGTAGGAATCCCCTAAGCTTGCACATCATGAATAGGATGGGTGGGGGGGCACAATTTTCAAAACTTTGTTTTTTGGCACTAGATGACTTTGTCCCAGCACTGCCTTTTGGGGGGGGGAAAGCTGGAACAGAAACCCCTGATCCTTTTCCAAAAAAACACATGCATTGAGCTGCAGGCACCATGATTGGTGGGTGTGAAAAAGTGTGCATTAGCAGATGCGTAGTGGTGTTATTAACAATTAATGGCACCTCTAAGGGGGCAGCGTTGGCAGAGTGTTTCTGTGCTGGTCAGGAAAGCGTACAATTTTGTGTGCATTCCCAACACGCTAGTAGAGTGAACCTAGTCTTAGACTTGCAGTTGGGGGAGGGGGGGGCATTAAAAACATGTGGTTAAGTCACACTTTTAGCACTTCACCCCTGTTGGGAATACAACAGCATGTACTATATAGTATTGTGTGTTAATATCACTTGACCAGTAGATGGCACTGTACACTAAGGTTACTAGTTGTGCATATGTGTAAAACTTGTTGGTTCTCTCTCTTCCTTACTCTCTTCTCTCTCTTCAAAACCAAGATGTCTGCTAAAATGTGTTCTGTATGTTTGCAACTTAAGCCACACAAGTAAAAAACTGTGTTCTGCCTCATCACAAGCTACCAGTGTCTTCTCTAACACATAACCAACAACCCCAACTGCCCCCTTAGCTACTTCAGCCTCCGCGACGTACCAGTGTGTCATGAGGTTGAAACTGGCTTTGCTGGGATGTAAGCTGCAGGCATCATTCTGGTATCTTTTTTTCTGTCGTTGGTGGGCTGTAATTGAAAAGTTATCCTAGCAGCTAATTAGCTGCTGGATCACTTTTTCAGGTGGCAGAAGGGGGGCCCACCCCCTCTCAACTCGTTCCGCAGCCCTGGTAGGACAGGAGAGCCCAGGACTAAAGCTGACAGTTCCACCGGCTTACCATAGAGCTGATCGGGGACCGGAATGTCACAGATCATTTCTATGGCCTAAGAAGCTGGAAAAGTCTAGTATTTTGCCACTTCCGGTCTCTCCAGGATGTACTGAGATAACTGGCTTGGGAGATCAGACTAATCTTGGTTAGATGTTTTTAAGGGCAAAGGAGAGATCTGGGGTCTAATAGACCCCATATATCTTAGTAAAGAGGAACCTGTCACTGCCTATGTTATCACAAGGGATGTTGTTCATTTCTTGTGATAGCAATACTTAAGTGATAAAACATTTTAAATATTTAATTAATAAAAGCAAAAAATATACCTGTTGATCCTGCCAGAAAATCCAGTGTATTTGCATGGAGCACTCTATGGGGTCTGTTTATAAAATGCTATGATTGTCATCTCATCCAGTAGCCTATAATGCGGTCTAGTTTTCCATTGAGGAATTTCAGATAAACTGTGCCGCATTTTGGCCAATAGATGGCACTGACAATCAAAGGAATTCATCTATTAGAGAAATACTTGGTATACTTGGACAGAGGGGTGGCGTGTGGACGTGGTATACTTGGACAGAGGGGGTGGCGGTAGGACGTGGAGGTATACTTTGGACAGAGGGGTGGCGGTGGACGTGTGTATACTTGGACAGAGCGGTGTCAGTGGATGTGGTATACTTGGACAGAGGGGTGGCGGTGGATGTGGTATACTTGGACAGAGGGGGGTGAGGTGGACGTGGTATACTTGTACAGAGGAGTAGAGGTGGACATGGTATACTTGGACAAAGGAAGTGGCGGCTGTGGATGTGGTATACGCTTGGACAGAGCGAGTGGTGGTGGTTATGTGGTATACTTGGACAGGAGGGGTGGCACAGTGGACGTGGTTTACTTGGACAGAGGGGTGGAGGTGGGATGTGGGTAGTATACTTTGGACAGTGAGGTGGAGTGGCGGGTGGATGTGGTATACTTGGACAGAGGGGTGGCAGTGGACGTGGTATACTTTGGACAGAGGGGTGGCTATAGATGTGGTATACTTGGACAGAGGGGTGGCAGTGGACATAGGTATACTTGGGCAGAGGGGGTGGCGGTGGAGTGGTATACTTGGACAGATGGGTAGTGGTGTTGCGGTGGATGTGGTATACTTGGACAGAGGGCTGGCAAGTGGGCATGGTATACCTTGGACAGAGAGGGTAGGGCTGGTGGCGCGTGGGAACGTTGGTATACTTGGACAGAGGGTGTGGCAGTGGACGTGGTATACTTGGACAGAGGGGGTTGGCTATAGATGTGGTATACTTGGACGGAGCAGAGTGTAGGGGTGGCGGTGGTGGATGTGGTATACTTGGACAGAGGGTGGTGGCTGGATGGATGTGGTATATGGGAGCAGAGGGGTGGTATAGATGTGGTATACTTGGACAGAGGGGAGTGGCGGTGGTTTTGGACGTGGTTATTACATTGGACAGAGGAGTGGGCTTTTGGTGGACGTGTTGGGTATAACTGCGATTTTTGCGAAAATGCGCGGTGACTGACACTAGTTCCACAATACCAGGCTAATGTTTGTTAAGGTAAAGTTACAGGCTTGGAGTAAAATTCTGTATGTGTGTAAATGGATAGAAAACCTGGGCTAAAAAGATGGTATTCAGAGGAGTAAGATGGTTGAATGATTGCTATACTCTGTATGGTCTGCGGAGGTGGGTCTAGTGGTTGATTACCCCATTGGTTGTCAGTGTTTATTAGTGGGGGTACCCTAGTCGTTACAGTTGTTGGGATGTTTTTCTTAATATTTAATATATTTATAAACAAATATTGGGTCTGGTGATTATAAATCCCATGTTTTCAGTCTTTGCAGATGACACAGCATGATGTGCTGGTTGGGAATAACGTCCTTACAGGATGTCGTCCTAATTTGTGTTGACAAGCCGACGCCGCAATGCTCTGGCGTGTAATCGGGGCAAACTATGTGGCAAAATGGTTTTTTTTTGTTATTAACTTTATATTGATTTGTTAAGTAAAGTATAACAGAAGGTTTAAATGAGAGGCATCAAAAGTGGAACCAGAGAAAAAGAAAGATGAGGCGTCATCGATGAAGAGGCATTCAATACATGTAATGGTCATTACTCGCTTAAGCAAGTGGTTTACGCTCGGAATCAGGGTGTCAGACAAATGAGTACGACATGTCCGGAGTTGGGGAAGTATCCCATGATTCCAAATTCGCTTCTAATAAGTGGAAGACAGAGTTTGGTATGCCGCACTGCAGTATGTTTACTCCATTTTTCTAAATTTCTGTATTTATTGTTCTTCAATTCTGATTAGCGTTAGGTGACGTTTGGTGAGAAAGCCAAGGCACAGAATGGATTCTCCTGGCTGCCATTAAAACGTTGTGGAGGAAAGTTTTCGTGCAGACATGGAGAGGCCCGGAAAAGGTAGGCCCAACAAAAAATAGTGAACATGTGCCTCAAATGAAAATTGCGAGCGATTTCAAATTAAGCCGTTACCGGAGGACCAAGGTGAGCACTTCTCTCCAAAAAGGGTTGTCAGATGGACTGGCAGGCCAAGAAAATATGTGGATGGGAACAGAGTTGCCACGTGGTCCTCGCCACATTGCCAAACCGACAACAAATGAAACTTTTGGGGTCTATGAGCACTGGGAGCAACCTCAGGCAGTCCTATACCAAAACATCAGAATTCTATAAGGATATTATTTATATACCTACACATTAGGGAACATCTTGGATGTGGTGCCTCCCAAATCCTTCTTTGCACTGTTCCAAGGCAATGGGCACAATGGAGGTATTTACGGGGCCATTTGGCGCATTTAAAAGGGTGTGTATCTAATAGAAAAGGGGGCAGGAACGGTCTAAAAGAAGTTTAATGATAAACCATGGCTGGAAAAAAATTAGGTTTAATGTTGATAAATTTTTAAGGTTCTGCACTTGGAGCTAAATATGATGCATTTAAAATACTAAAAGGTACAATGGGGGGTCAATGGTGGAGAAGGATTGGGGGTTCTGGATCAAAAGCTTAATGGCATGCATCCCAAAGCTGCGGGTTTTTAAGGAGCAAAATCCTTTTTGTATTAAAGAGGTATAGATCCAGAGAGATGTATAATTCCCGGGTAAAATATTAGTAAGACCTCATTGGAATATGCAGTTCAGTTTTGGGCCCAATTTACAAAAAGAACATTGGGGAAATGGAGAAAAGTACAGAGAAAAGGGGAACCCAAAAATGATACGAGGCATGGGGGGAGATCGCTTTGAGGGAAGATTAGGGAATGAATTTATTCTCTCTTGAGGGGAAGAGGAGATTAAGGGGGTATGATCTCCCTGTATAAATTTCATGGGGGGATATGATCTCCATTTTTAAAAATAAAGGGGGGGATATGATCACCATGTATAATACATAAGGGGGGAGGGGTTTATCTCCATTTTAATACATAAGGGGGGATTTGATCTCCCGTATAAAAATAAGGGGGGATTGACACCAGTTTTTAATAATAAGGGGGGATTGATCACCACGTTAATCATAAGGGGGGAAAGATCTCCCTGTTAATACATAAGGGGGAGAATGATCTCCGTATAATACATAAGGGGGGGATATGATCTCCCTGTTTTAAAACATAAGGGGGGTTGATTTTGTATAATACTTGGGGGGATTGATACCCTGTATAATACATAAGGGGGGTATGATCTCCATGTTAATAATAAGGGGGGGGGTATGATTCCCTGTTAATAATAGGGGGATATGATCTCCCTGTATAATACATAAGGGGGGATA